ACTGTGATATAGCCTGGTTCGTTGGTCTGTTAGATCGGATTGCTTTCTCACTACAACCGAATCGCTCCAGAGTCCGTTTTCAATCGAGCCGAGACCACCTCGTTCAGGCAATCTCGGAACGATTGTTTTGGCGCGGATCCGGGTGCGATTGCCGTGTTCACATATGCCTAAACAAACCGAGCTAAGGGGGGAAACGAGCCAGGTTCTGAAACAACGGGCCAGATGTGAAAGCACCCTAACTGTTACAAACCGAACTTTATAGCAAACCAACACATACAGTATTTTTAAATGGAATAAGCTCTTTAAAGGAAAAAACAAGTTTTCACATTTCTGTGCCTTGCCTTCCACTGTACATGATGTAAAATAAACACAACATTCGTTTCTACATACTTAGGGACGAAAGAAAGACAAGAGAAGTGATAATGAGCAGCTGGGATTGCAGGTTGCGTTTCAAGATGAACTCAGGAAAGTCCAGACAGCTGGAGCCATCAGTTTATTCCAGATGTTACAGAAGAACCGAGCTGGTCACATTACCTTTCTAGTTATTAAGCTAGTTAAAGTCTATGTGAAATCAAATGCACCCTATTTAATACACATTCCTGCACTGTGAGTGATTCATTGGTACACATTATTTCAAAGAAAAAATATTTATCTTCATTAAATGTAACAACTTCTGCCCCTACTTTGGGTAACTTTAATTTAAAGTCAAAATTGAACTCTCCTTCATATACCCTAAAACACAACACAATGCAATGCATGATTCAGAAAATACAGAAACTTACTTCTTATTAACAGTACATTTGGCCCCTATTTTTGGGACTTTTCTCCAAGAGACTTTCTAACGCACATTTCGAGTCTTATTGTGAATATTAAATCAAATCATCTTTTTTGCTTTCAAACTCTTTCATTAAAAAAAGAATCACTAAAAGCTTAAGCTACCAGACAATATTAAGCAAGAGACAAATAGCTGTTTTTAGGGACTGTTTTAGCAAATATCACAAGGTCTGAGCACAGTTATAGAAAATAATATTGTGGGGAAAAAACTTCTCTGTATCATATATCATCTGAAAAGCCTCAAAACGTGCTTTTTTAAAAGCATTGCAAGACCCTGTTGTAAATCGTAATGTAAATCATCATATTTCATTTGCAGAGTGCATGCAATTGAAGTTAATTAGCCTAACATCGCCCAACAATGAACATTACTTTTACAGCATTTACAAAATTGGTTACTGTTAATTGTTTTTCTAACAATAAATGTTGTATATGTTTACATTAGTCAATGAATCAATATGAAGTGATAAATTTATAAATTATATTTATAAACCATAAAGAATCATAAGGATCATAAATGCTGTAAAAGTAAAATTACTACAAACTACTAAAGTGTGTGTGTGTATAAATATATATATCTCACACCATTAAGAAGTTTTTTTTTTACTTATCACTAATACACTGCTTTCATTTGATTAAAAATACAGGAAAAAAATTAATACTTATTTAGGATTGTTTTCGCAAATTGCATGAGGTGCTCGCACAGTTACAGCCAATAATATTGTGGGAGTAAATGTGTGTATGATTTATCATCTGAAGAGCCTCAAAACGGTCTGTTTTAAAATGACTGTAAGACCATGTTGTTTGTTGCCATGTTGTTCTTCTAATCAATGCATCTACAGCCTCATTCCTGAAATGCAAGCACAATTTTCTGTATGAATCATCTGTAAAACCATCCTTACATAAATAGTCACATTCCATTCAGTGCAACAATTTCCAAAGAATGCTTTACGGATGATTTACAGAGAAATTCGTTCTGTGTGCATTTCATGAGTGAAGTCCGTAGTCTGTGATTGCACACGTCAAACATGACAGAAAACAAGATGTGCACAGGATGAAGACCTTCTGTCTTGTAGATGCACATCATTTGCAGAGTGCATGTAATTTAAGCTAATTCTCGCAGCTAGATTCACTCACAAAAATACCAGATAAACTTCTCAACAAAAAGTTGCCCACAGAGAACAAGTTTTTGCCCATGAGACCCCGGCCACCCTCAATCCCCAACATTTCTCTAAACGCTAAAAGGGGTCACACAACGGAAACCTTTATCCCTTAAAAGAGACCCTGAATGAACTGTATTCCCATTCACGCAGCTGGAGGTCCGTGCACTACCCTAGTTAGGGCACTAAGACGGGCCAGCAGCCTCTGCCGCTGAGAGCCAACGCCAACCTGAGCGTCCTGAGATAGATGTACGGTGAGACTCAGCCAATAAATGAGCAGTTCCACGGATATTTGTTATATCTCTGAAAGTGTTTGCCTTTTCAGATGCGTCCTTGTTTGCTATTTTCCCCCCCTAAACCTTCCACTCCTTCACTGTCTCTGCGTGAAAGCCTTCTCTGTGCGACCGGCCAACTATCTGTCAAAGCAGGGGCTCTTTAGCACGTGAATGAAGTCCGTTGAGCTTTACGGGCGCTCTGAGCGAGCACGTGGTCATCCGCCAAAGCTGAGCACTTTCACTCAGCCCTGACCACGGACCCGACGCCAGGCTGAATCTTAAACAGCACGGCAACAAGACCGGCCTTTTATTGTGTCCATCCTCACGCCATTCACGTTTCACTCATTCTCTCATTCTCCCTTTCTCTGTCCATCTCTCTTTCTCTTTGTGTCACTGACAACGTCAGGATTGTGACAGACGCATCTGTCTTAGCAGAGTATTAATAATTTAATATATTCAAGCAGATATAAAAAAGATATAAAATAATGTTTAAATTAACGTTATATGAGCTTGATACAAAACACACAGCTCACAGCTGTAAATTTGCATATTTGTTTATGAATCGTTGCACATCGACGGCTGGCCCTGAATAATGGACAGCATGCACTTAGACTCAAAGTTGCAGATGCATGAATTTTCATTAGCGTGGTTGTTTAGGTTTTCTGTTAGCAATTAATGCTGTTATGAAATGCATCCAACAGCCACCCTATTTATATTTATAGCATTTCATAGACTTTTCGAAAAACAAAAAATAAGTTTCTTTCAGACTTTCTTTTTCTGTAAAAACTTTCTACATTAATTAATGTTAGTTAATGCAATAGTGGGCTTTATCCAGCAATGAACATTACTTTTACAGCATTTAATGAACAAGGTTCATTTCTACATATACTAGCATTTCACTTTTTAACAATACATTTTATATAGTTTATAGTGCTGTCAAATTATTAATCGCAATTAATCGCATCCAAAATAAAAGTTTTTGTTTACATAATATATGTGTGTGTGTGTTGTGTATATTTATTATGTATATATAAATACAAACACATGCATGTACATATTTAAGAAAAATATGTTGTTTATATATGAAATATATTTATATATATAATATAAAATATAAGAATATAAATATATAAATGTATATACACATGTAAATATTTTCAAAATATATACTGTATGTGTGTGTAATATACATAATAAATATACACAGTACACATACATATATTACGTAAACAAATTGTTTTATTTTGGATGCGATTAATCGCGATTAATCGTTTGACAGCACTAATAGTTTAACATTAAAATAATTAATAAATTAATAAACAATAAAGAATCATTTATAAATGATCATTAACCAAAAATGTATAAATGCTGCAAAATTAATTATATATTTTTTATAAATTTAAATTCATATAAAGAAACTATACCATTCAAAAGTGCTAATTTTTTTAAAAGAAGTTTCTTATGCTCACCAAACCTGCATTTATTTGATTAAAAATACAATAAAAACGGTAATATTGTGAAATATTATTACAATTTAAAATAAATGTTTTCTATTTGAATATATTGTAAAATGTAATTTATTGCTGTGATCAAAGCTGAATTTTCAGCATCATTACTCCAGTCTTCAGTGTCACATGATCCTTCAGAAATCATTCTAATATGCTGATTTGCTGCTCAAGAAACATTTTTGATTATTAATGCTGTGCTGCTTCATATTTTTGTGGAAACTGTGATACATTTTATTTTTCAAGATTTTTTGATAAATGCAAAGTTGAAAATAATAGCATTTATTTGAAATAAAAACCTTTTGTATCATTATAATTGTCTTTACTGTCACTTTTGATCTATGTAATTTAATTCTTAAAAAAAAAAAAACTGACTCCAAACGTTTATATATATTAGGTCTTAGCAATCCACATTCTATAGTATACACACTAGATTAAAATGTTGTTTCTCCATATCTGCAGTGCAAATTACTGTCAAGACAAACAAAATGAACATGAATATGATTCAATTAAAAATAAAATTGAATTAAAATGAGAGTTGGGAGAGAAACAGAATAGGGACACAAAGATAAAACAAAACAAAACGAACTGTCCTGACAACAAAGACTAATTTGATTGTATCGAAATGAAAAAAGAATTACCCCAACAAAAACAACTAATCTAAAATCAGTTATGAGAAATATAAAGAACAAACAGCCAGAAATGACAAGATTAACTCCAATGACAACGAAAACACATTAACTAAACTGAGAGACAGACAGACACAAAAACAATCAAAATGCTGCAACACTATGGACAATATGGCTAAATTCTTGCATAGTAGCTCCGTCTATTCAGACAAACACTTGAAGTGGTCAGTCACACACACATACACACACACACACACACAGAGGCCAGCGCCACAGGCTGAGAGAACAAAGAAAATTGGACACACAATGGGGGAGGTCTGGAGATGACAGCCAAACTGTTTATCAGCATACCTCAACAAAGACACGGAGAGAGGGAGGGGACAGAGAGAGAGAGAGGGAAGACGGGATGGAGCGCGGAGAGAGAGGGCAAAATTGGAAAAGATACGGGATGGACACGAGGGGAGGGAAGACATGTGGGCAAAATTGCTCTCAGGACAAAAAGAAGAAAGGAAAGCACAGTGCAACAAGATGAAAAGACTCACAGGAAGTGGATAGTTTTGTCCACGGATGGACAGATGAGGACAGAAAGAGTGCACTCACCAGGAGGAAGGTGTCAGCAAGGGCTCATTCCAGAGGAGCGCATCCGATAGACTTCAGATCTGTTTAATGCAATCCTAACAGACAGACAGAGAGAGAGAGAGAAATCACTTTAGTCAGCCTCTCGCGGACGGGCTGCGTCCTGAGGAAAGGGGGAGATGAAGGGGCTTCAGTAATGTGTGCAGTGAAGCATTCAGCCCTGTGAAAAACAAACTGTTAACTTTCTCAATGGAGGGAGGCTGCTGGGGGCACGACGGCGGTGTGTGTGTGTGTGTGTGTGTGTGTGTGTGTGTGGCATGTGAGACGAGTTCACGCGGGTAACGAAAGGGTTAAAATTCCTCTAATTGTTCCCAAACTGAGGCTGGTGCACCTCAGATGCACAGCAGCTCCAGTATTTCAACACTGATGCTATGCTTAAAAATGTCTGATGAAAAATAAGAAAACAAGTATCTTCTGTGCTGTAACACTGTTGTATCTTTTCACTTCTCTACGCTTTTTCTTCATAAATCCACTAAAAATCACCAAAAACGTCACACAGGTGTCCTAGCAGAGTAACCACAGATGGCATTCATAGATCCAAAAGTTCACTCACATTTCACAAGTGTAATTTTTGTCTTAATTAACTTTAATCCTAATTAATATTGTAATATATACCATTCAAAAATTCATATGTTAAAATGTAATTTATTCCTGTGATGCAAAGCTGAATTTTCATCAGTCTTCACATGATGCTTCAGAAATCATTCTAATATGCTGATTTGCTGCTCAAGAAACATTTCTGATTATTATCAATGTTCAAAAGAGTTGATTTATATTTTTGTAGAAACTCTGATACGTTTTTTCAGGATTCTTTGATGACTAGAGTTCAAAAGAACAGAATTTATTTGAAGTAGAACCTTTTTGTAAAAAAAACTGTCACTTAGCATTATTTTAATGCATCCCTGCTAAATAAAAATAATTATTTAAACAAAAAAAAATCTTACTGACCTTAAACTTTTGAACAGTAGTCGTGTATATGCATTTCCTTTGAAAAGTAAAACATAAAGCACTGCTGTGGACATTTGAGAGATGATGCAAATGAACTATTAAATCAGTTACTGAAATTGACAGTTTGAATTGATTTTAGAAATAACTGCAGTGCCATTTTTGCTACTGGCAAAAGTTTAAACGAGTGAAATGAGTTTAACAACGCAGTCAAATAACCCGTCAGTCATCACAATATTCACAATCCTGCATTATTTTACATGGCCAGCAAATCACTGTGAATATTTAGTGAATATATACAGGTGCATCTCAATAAATTAGAATGTCGTGGAAAAGTTCAGTAATTTCAGTAATTCAACTCAAATTGTGAAACTCGTGTATTAAATAAATTCAATGCACACAGACTGAAGTAGTTTAAGTCTTTGGTTCTTTTAATTGTTATGATTTTGGCTCACATTTAACAAAAACCCACCAATTCACTATCTCAACAAATTAGAATATGGTGACATGCCAATCAGCTAATCAACTCAAAACACCTGGAAAGGTTTCCTGAGCCTTCAAAATGGTCTCTCAGTTTGGTTCACTAGGCTACACAATCATGGGGAAGACTGCTGATCTGACAGTTGTCCAGAAGACAATCATTGACACCCTTCACAAGGAGGGTAAGCCACAAACATTCATTGCCAAAGAAGCTGGCTGTTCACAGAGTGCTGTATCCAAGCATGTTAACAGAAAGTTGAGTGGAAGAAAAAGATGCACAACCAACCGAGAGAACCGCAGCCTTAGTTGAGATAGTGAATTGGTGGGTTTTTGTTAAATGTGAGCCAAAATCATCACAATTAAAAGAACCAAAGACTTAAATTACTTCAGTCTGTGTGCATTGAATTTATTTAATACACGAGTTTCACAATTTGAGTTGAATTAGTGAAATAAATGAACTTTTCCATGACATTCTAATTTATTGAGATGCACCTGTAATTTTCCAGCCTTAATATGTTATCTCCAATGTCTTTTTTTTTTTAATTTGACTATAAAAACACGTCTGTCAAGTACACAAATACAGTCCAATCAATGAGCTGTACTGTTGTGCAATTTAGTGTTGATTTGGTCAATAAAAAACTAAACACTAAACATGACATAAAACCTCAAAACAATATAACCAATTGAACATCCTTCACATTTCCGTTCATGTCAAATTACAGATGCATCTACCCTGACTAAGCTCCACTGCTTTATCACTTAAAACTTGACAATATGTCTGTGAAACGTTCTTCTTAATAAGTATACCTTTTTCTTTAAAATAAATGTCATTTGAGTTGATATTTTGTTATTTAATGCACTGACTTTCAGGCATTTTTAAGGGTCCAAATACTTTTTAGGGCCACTCGACATGAGACCTTTGCTTACTCATTAGCTGAGAACAGCACTTTGAGAAGCAGTGATCTAGTTTCTGTGGCAACAGCACCCCTCCCCCCAGGACATCCCATAATACAGCTGTAATTTTCCTTTCAATCAATTCAAATTTGACATTTCACAGTGAGAATAGGTGAAAAGAGATCAAGAAACATGTTCAATCCCCTCTGTCATTATTCCGGTTCCCTCCATTCTCCAGGCCCCCGTCGCACACAAAAACACAATACGCAACGGGGCGGTTGATTTCGAGTTCAACTTTTGTACGACTTTCTCTTGAGATCAATCAATTCACTCACTCATTCATCCATTCATTTGCGGCTCCATTCAACTGAGTCACTTAATTCAGCAGACTGAAATTAGTTATTCATTCATTTATTCTCTGAGGTGAATGAGGGAAAGGATGATATTTTATGCAAGAGTTGTGCAAGATTCACAACGTAACAAGGCTTTCTAAGAGTCAAAAGATCTCTCAACTACACCAGGGAAAATGTGGTCTGTTTAGTTGAGCTAAAAGCTTAAAATACATGGTACTATACAACCAAAACAAAGACGGCTTGATAGTGATACATTAATTGTTTAACACTACTTATTGTCCCATCTAGCTTTGTAAACACAGACAATGGGCATGCTGAAATTTTTTTGTTAGCAAGACCAGTTTTTTAACCAGCTTAACCAGCATGAACCTTCTGCTTTACTGACTTAACCAGCAAGTCGACTAGCTTGAACAGAAAGACCATGATTTTTGCTGTTGGACAGCATGGCATTGCTCGTCCACCAGATCAACCAGCCATAACCAGTACTAAACCGGTTCTAAACCAGAATGAACCAGGTCAAGATTAGCACTAACCAGCATAAACCATCCTTTTAAACCAGCAAAATTCACATTGGCTGACCGACTTAACCAGTAAAAGCCTTTACTGATTTAACTGTAATATTCTGACTATGCTGTTTTGCTGTGGGACAGCATGGTTTTGCTTGTCCTCTGGCTTGACCAGCACTAACCATCGATAACTAGCAACAAACCAGTACTACTTAACTCTAAATCACAATGAACCAGCTCAAGACTGGCACTAACCAGCATAAACCAACCACCCAAACTTCTAAGAAAGCAAAATCATATTAACTGACCAGTTTAACCAGAAAGTCAACCAGCTTGACTAGCACTAGCCAGCCACAACTAGCACCAAACCACTACTACTTAACTCTGATCCAGAATTAACCAGTTAGAGATTAGCACCAATCAGCATAAACCAACCACCAAACTTCTAAATAAGCAAAATCACATTAGCTGATCAGCTTAACCAGAAAGAACATTCTGCTTTGCTGATTTAACCAGAATACTCTGACTATGCTGTTTTGCTGTGGAACAGCATGGTTTTGTTTGTCCTCCATCTTGACCAGCACTAGTTCCAGATTAGAACTAACCTGCATAAACCAGCCACCAAGCCCCAAAAGCACATTAGCTGACCAGTTTACCCAGCAAGAACCCTCTCTTTTTACTGATTTAACCAGAAAATCAACCAGCTTTACCAGCACTAACTAGCCATTACTAACACCAAACTAGTATTACTTAACCCTTAACCAGAATGAACCAGCTCATTCTTAGTACTAACCAGCATAAACTAGCCACCAAGCACCAAAATGACCAGCTTAACTAGTAATAACCCTCTGACCAGCACTAACCAGCCATAACAAGCACCAAAATATTTCTACTCAACTCTAGCATAGAATGAACCACCTCCAGATTAGCTTTAACCAGCATAAACCAGTCACCAAAAAGCAAAACCACATGACCTGACCAGCTAAACCAGCGAGAACCTTTTGCTTTACTGATTTAGCCAGAACGTCAACCAGCTTGATGAAGAAGAACATACTGTTTTACTTTGAACAGAATGGCTTTGCTCATCCTCCAGCTTGACCAGCACTAACCAGCCATAACTAGTATCAAACCAGCAAAATCACAACAGCTTACCAACAAGAACCTGTTGCTTTTTTGCTATCAGCAAAGCATCTTAGCCATCCATGATGGTTTAACAGGTTCATGTTTTGCTGGTGAACAACATGGCTAGGCTGGTTAGCACCAGTTAGACAAGCATCAGACCAGTTCTAACCAGCACTAAATTAGCCTGAACTAGTGCCAAAACAATACTAACCAGCATCAACCATTTCCAAACCAAAACTAAGCAGCATAAATCAGCATGGAAATTTATGTTTCATATGAAAAAAATATGAAACAAACAAAAATACATGAATAGAATAGAATAGAATAGAATAGCCTGAGTTTGCATTGGAAACACCAATTTAATCACAAAGGAGAGGAATACTACAAAAACAAAAGAAAGTTGTAAAACAAAAGAGTTAGCCAGGTTCATGTTTTGCTGGTGAACAACATGGCTAGGCTGGTTAGCACCAGTTAGACAAGCATCAGACCAGTTCTAACCAGCACTAAATTAGCCTGAACTAGTGCCAAAACAATACTAACCAGCATCAACCATTTCCAAACCAAAACTAAGCAGCATAAATCAGCATGGAAATTTATGTTTCATATGAAAAAAATATAATATGAAACAAACAAAAATACATGAATAGAATAGAATAGAATAGCCTGAGTTTGCATTGGAAACACCAATTTAATCACAAAGGAGAGGAATACTACAAAAACAAAAGAAAGTAGTAAACC